GGGGCTTATCCGTGGGGCTTCTGCGAGCAGTTTGCAAACGCGCTGTTGTTTTGGTATGGTGCGCCTGAGGAATGTTGGCTTGACCAGAGCCTACAGGCGAAATCTTGCTGAGGCAGCATCGTCGTTGGAGCGGAGGGTTCGTCGAGGGGGGCACATTCTTTCGAGGTCCACTCCATCCCCGCAAGCAGATAGATGGCTAGAGAGGGCTGTTGAAGAAGCTCACTGCGAGGGAGAACGGCTGTATTGGGTGACTCTCGGGCTGTTGGGTGTACAAAGGTCACTACATCTTTCAGGGTCATGTTTACGGGGAGCTTGGCGAGCTGTTCAAGGATGGCGCTCTTTGAGGCCAGTGCGGTCGCGTGTGCCTATAACCCTATGGTCGCTTGAAGGGGCCGTGTTAGCATGGCTGTGGTTGGGGTGGCGAGAAGAGGGTTGGATGCGCCGGCAATACTGGACCTGCGCAATGGCTTCTTGGTTAGCTTTTTGGTGCCTCCTGCGGCCATCTGAGATTCTCAACCTACGTGTTTCGGACCTTTCTTTTCCCCAGGGCGGTGAAGCGTTGCGAGACCCAGGGATAGTGGTGATGGTGCGGTCCCCTAAGACGCGCCGTATCTGGCACAGACAGTTTGCGTTGTGCAGTGAGCCGCGAGTGTGTAGGTGGTTGCGCTGGTGGGTGGCCGACAAGAAGCACACTAGCAAGATTTTTCCTGGCACACGCTACTTGTGGGACAAGCATTTCAAAGAGGGTTTGCGGTTTCTTGAGTTGGAAGCTTGCTCATACACACTGGGGAGTATGCGTGCTGGGGGTGCCACTCATCATTTTCGCGTGCGCAGCAACCTGAGCGTTTTGCAATTTCACGGTCGGTGGTCTTCAGCAAGTACGTTGCAGTTCTACCTCCAAGAAGCTTTTTCGACACACATAACCTCACAGCTGAAACCTAGCACTTTGGAGAAGTTGACCATGTTGCACAATTTTGACCACATGCTCAACACCCCGCCTCAGTTCAGTCTCAAAAGTTTGTTGGGGGTCGGAGCACATGCTTGGTAAAGTTGTTGCAGATGGGCAGGTCCCACTCTAGCCAGGGGGAACGCTCTCAAGTCCAAGCGCCGCGGCGGCGCACAGAGCGGAAGCGAAGCTCATCTCCAAAGCATAGCCAGCAAAGGGGCAGGCAAGCAAATCGAGGTGATCTTCCACCCCCCTCGTTAGAGGACCCTGGTAGCTCAGCTGGAAGTGTTTTGGCGCGGCGAGGTCAAGTGTTGCGCGCAGTGGAACTCGCTTCAAACGAACTGACCCCAGAAGAGTTGGCAGCTTTAGACGACCCTGGGTTTAGACAGCAGGCTGCAAGATGGCGTTCTGGCAGTGGCTCACGGCGGGTCTCGGCGGCCTTCGCCCGCCTGTTGACATCTCTGTATACTATTTTCCCTGGCTGGGCCACGGCTGATGGGTTGGCACAGTCGGCAGCCCCGCCCATAGTCGAGGCCTTGCCCTTTGACCAGAGTTCTCAGCCTTCGTTGCGGGTGTGGTGGCTTCGCTTCAGCATGGGCTGGCAAAGCTCCCTGAGATGGATGGTTAGTTATCGGAGGACTCTGTGGGCACTTTTGCTGTTGCTCTTATTTCCGCGTGTGGTGGCCGCTCTCATCGCTACTGTGGTGCGCCTCTTCATCCGGTTGATGCTCGCAATTACCACTCGACTCCTTCGTGATCTATGGCTCGAGCTTGGTGGTGTGGTGAACCAGCTGTCTTCCGTGTCTCAGGGAGTGGAGACCGCTTTGATGTCCCAACTGGAGCAAATCTTGGTAGATTGGTGGCCTCCGGCCACTTCTCAACCCTCCCTCCAACCGGCTGACCCTCCTGCCGGGACGCCTGCCGGCGCCTCCGTGCCGCTTGGGGGGGGGCTGGCCCCCCCGCCCAGTCTCCTCTTCACCAACCTCTTGCTGGCGGCCAACCTTTTCTTCCAAGCGCGTGCCCACCGCCGGGGTGGGGTGGCATAGCATAGCAAGGTTTCACTTTGAGCATGCGGAGCGCTTCTT